AGACTCCTCTCCTCCGGAACAACTGACAGCTGGTGGGTATTTATCTTCTGGAGGATCCGTGGGGTTTTCATTTGCACTAAAAGAGACACTTAACTCAGGGCCCTTCTCCCTTCTTCTGGTGGACCTATCCCCCCGTACCCCCACCTACTGAAGGACACATGGTTCACCCAAGGTGACTACCTTCCAGTCATCCTAGACTCTTTCCATCTTTTGCATCATTTTTAGTCAGCCACCAAATCCTATAAATGCTGTCTCTGAGACACATGATCTATATCCCCAGCTCTGTATTCCCACTGCCCTGATCCTACTTAAAATCTGCATTAACCTGTAATCATCTTTCTTCTGTACTATCACTATGACCTTCTTGTCTACTTCAAAATGCTACTGTCTATAAACTATAACGTTTCTTTCCCACAGGTAAATCTGGTGACGTCACCTCCAGCTAAAATTCATCCAGTGATTTTTTTCCTCTCTCCTCCTTCCCAAAACCCACAACTATGTCTTATTCCTTTTGCTGCTTGATCAATTCTGGGACAGGGTGAGGGACTGGTATGTGCTGGGGAAGGAAGATGTATAAGGAAAGAATTGTAGAAGATATCATCCTTCACTGAAGTAATTTATAGTCTGATTTGGAAGGCACTGGAAGAGTCAGATAGGTCATTCGGTGATCACTTACTGAATACCTGCGATGCGCCAGGCGTTAAGGCGGATGACTAGCTGCGGTGATTAAAATGCATGGTTCCTGCACTGAAGCTGGGAGAATTGCACTATAATACGTTTTGTACCATTATATTTGTATAAAGTACTATCAGAGCACGGAGCTTGAGTTGTGACTTGAAGGTTGAGGAGGAAGCTACCAGGCTATGGTGGTCTGCATGGGGAGATAAGGGAGCCAGAGTTTACAGCATGAGGAAGCATGATGTTTGGGAAATAGAAAGTACTTTATTGCCACAGGAGGGTAGGGTGCTCAGGGAAGGGTGATTGAGGGGGCAGGAGAGCAAACGGTTAGTCTGAAGCATTTGTTCGTTTATTCACTCACTCATTCATGTGTTCATCAATAAATGTTTTTTTACCTAACATCTTCCCCAGAGTTTCCTATTAGCTCTGTCAGCCCCAGAGAACTATGCCTGTGTCCTGGCTTAAGTCAAGAACTTGAGGGGTGCCTGGATGGCTCAGTTGGTTGGGCGTCCGACTTCAGCTCAGGTCATGATCTCAGGGTCCGTGGGTTCGAGCTCCGCGTCAGGTTCTGTGCTGACAGCTTGGAGCCTGGAGCTTGCTTTGGATTCTGTGTCTCCATCTCTCTTCCCTCCCCCTGCTTGCACTCTCTCTCTCTCTTTCTCAAAAATAAATAAATGTTAAAAAACAATTTTGAAAAAATAAAGAAGAGTCACCCGTGAATAGATAAAAAAATTCTAGGTGAAATCACCATTGATCTATTTGCTTCCCTTTCCCCAACCTCCATTCTCAGTCGCCATAGCATGCCTTCAAACTCTTAAATATTTCTATCTACTATTCCATCCACAGATTAGAGATGGCATCCTTTAAATGAATTAGAATAAAGGAAATAAACCCACTTAAGGAGAAAGGGCTTCTGCACAGAAACCTCTTTGCTGCTATAAATATTCAGGACAGGAAGGCACACGGTTAAGTCAGTTCCCTGCCACCTTCAGTGTATAGTTTTTATGTTTGAAACTCTCAGTGTTCAATCATTACTCCTGTTCTGGCAGTCTTTCCTTTTGTGCATGTGAGCTCCCCCCTATTAAATAAGCCTCTCTTTTGGAAGAATGCTCATGGCAATGACTATAATTACACCCAAAGACTGAGCTGGAAAATGCAGTGATGTGACAGCTTTTGTGATAGGAAGGGTAGAGAAAGAATGAAAGCTTATAATTTTCTTTGAGGTATCTTGAAGTCTGACAGTAGCCTTGCCCTTGTGATGTAAATGTGCAGTGACCCAGACACTCAGGAAAGACTAAGCCAGACAGACATGCCAAGTCCCTGCTACATGGTCTACCAGTCAACAAGCAAGGGAGACCTCAGCACAGTGCTGAGTTCCCTTCTTTAGAGGGAATAGTCTAGAACAGTTGTTACCCCATTTTGTAGTAATGTCAAAACTTTTCATTCCTCATACGAAATGAGAGGTTTTTTTTTTATACATTATGTGTGAAAATACATAATACAAGTAACTACACACTTCTTATTACTTAGAGATAAATGTGTTTCATTCATCACAATAGCATGCATAGATACCTGAAAAACAGAACATCTGTGTTTTAAAAATGTGATTTATTCCATCTACTCACCAAGCTTGGCTCCTTATGTATTTGAAGACACTTCCAGCAGCCCAGAAACCCATGATTTCCTCCTCTCCTGCACTGCCCCTACTTCAAGGTCTCAGACTTGGAATAGTGTCTTCCTTCTATTCATTCATTTGTTTATTGGTTTAATTGTAGCTTTTCATTAAAAAAAAAAAAAGCATAGGGGCCCATTATATTTTGGCCATCATGCTAGAGATCATAGATACAAAGTCAAATGATATTCTGTACCTGCCCTTGAGAAACTTCAGTTCATTTGGGGAGGCAGGTATATAAATCTGTAACAGTACAATGGGCACAAAAGAGGATACTGTTGGTCACTTCTACTGAGGAGGAGTTACTATAAAAGCTTTCGTGTAGGAGGTATTACCCATCAGCAATTGCCGCAATAATGCTTTGCAACAAACTGCTCAAAGACGTGATGACTGAATGCTTCTGAGGCTTATGGTCTGCAAGATGAGAGCCAATTCCCTGGGCTGTGCTTGACTCCAGGCTTTGGGCTGCACTCTCTAAGCTGCAGGTTGGGTTCAGATCTGCTCTCCATGGTTCTCATCCTCCTCCTCAGACCAGATGGTCTCATACTGAGTCACTAAAAAGTAAGAGAACCTGACTGTGCAGAAATCATTTCATTCTCTGCTTTTGCCGCAGTCACCAAAATTCCATTGGCGAAAGCAAGTAATCTGGCCAAGCCCAAAGTCAAGGAGTAGGGAAGTATACTCAACCATTCCATTACATGGATATGGATACTGCTACAGGGAAGTGAAGAGCTGGGACCAAAAAGCGAACTTACTGTAGGAGAGAGACCTTTGATCTGCATTCTGAGAGAGGATTACAAGTTTTATCAGGTGGACCTAAATATCTGGAATAAGAATCAGGAGAAATAAAGGAACATTCGTGTGCAGTATTTGGCCTGAGAGAAATGTTCTGAGATGTAGGAGTTGGGGCTTTTCTGGGGGATCCATGTTCGATGTCCGTCATGGAATATACTGGTGCCAGTAGTGAGTAGAGAGGAGCCCAGCCTATGCCTGTCAGAGCTAAGTAGATCTAGAGGATATTCAATGAAAGACCCCATCCTGCTGATTCTAGGTCCAGATTGACCGTGAAAGGGCAGTGTCTCTGGTTTTTTACCCAGTGTCTCTGGTTTGATGATCTTGAAATCTAAAAGAAGGAAACCAGGACTCACAGTCTGTGCTGCCTTTTGCACCAACCCATTCTTTATGCTGTTGTCTTCTGAGTATTGAGTTTGTGGTTTGTGCTGGTTTCCTACTGCCGCTGTAAACAAATTATCACAAATGTAATGGCCTAAAAACAGCAGAAATTTATTATTTCACGGTTCTGAAATGGGTCTTGTGGGCTAAAGTCGGGCTGCTGGCATGGCTCCATTCCTCCTGGAAACTCTGGGAGAGAATCTGTTTCTTTGCCTTCGCCAGCTGCCAGAGGCCAACAGCATTCCTTTGCTCTGTATTTCCTTCCTCCATCTTCAAAGCCAGCAGTGGAGCATCTTCAAAACTACCTCTGAGCTTCTGCATCCCTCTTCCACCTTTAAAAGACCTTGTGATTATATTGGGCCCACCCTGTTAATCCAGGATGATTTCCTTATTTTAGGAGTAGCTAGTTAGCAAACTTAATCCCACCTACAACCTTAATCCCTCCTTGCCATGCAACCTAGGCTTGTGGACATGTTTGAAAGGCCATTATTCTGCCTCCCACTTATGTCAGGGAGTGGGGGTGACAAACAATGCATTGGCATATGCTCGATGACATAGCAGCACTTTCATTTTTTTCTGCGCTCACTTTTGAATCAACAGAATAGTAAGCAGAGAACCATTTCATAAATTTTTGTTAATGTTTATTTCTGAGACAGAAAGAGACAGAGCATGAATGGGGGAGGGGCAGAGAGAGAGAGGGAGACACAGAATCCAAAGCAGGCTCCAAGCTCTGAGCTGTCAGACAGAGCATGAATGGGGGAGGGACAGAGAGAGAGAGGGAGACACAGAATCCAAAGCAGGCTCCAGGCTCTGAGCTGTCAGCACAGAGCCTGACGCAGGGCTGGAACTCACAAACTGTGAGATCATGACCTGAGCCAAAGTTGGACGCTTAACCAGCTGAGCCACCCAGGTGCCCCTAGATCTATTCATTTTAATTGCTGGATTGTGTTTCACTGTTTGACTGTAATGTTTATTTTCCACTATGGTAGTGAACTTAAACTTTTTTATATTTAAAACAGTACTGCAATGAACATCCTCCTCTCGATGCATGTCCTTGTTCCTACGGGCTAGCGTTAGCATTGTCTGGGCTCGTCAAAGTGTGGACTGAAGACTATCACCAGATAATGACTACAAAGTACAGAAATTGAGAATAAGCTTTCAGAAACTTGAAAAGCAAATTACCTGGGCACTTTGATGTCTGCTGAATTGACAAGAAAAAAAAAAGTATCATATCCAGGCTTGTATTTTGTATTTTTTAAAATTTTCTTTAATGTTTATTCATTTTTTGAGAGGGGGGAGAAATAGAGACAAAGTGTGAGCAGGGGAGGGGCGGAGAGAGAGGGAGACACAGAATCTGAAGCAGGCTGCAGGCTCTGAGCTGTCAGCATAGAGCCCGATGTGGGGCTCAAACTCACAAACTACGAGATCATGACCTGAGCCAAAGTCGGACGCTTAACAAACTGAGCCACCCAGGTGCTCCTATTTTGTCTATGTTTATGTTTTATTTGTTTTATGTTTTTACTGTATTTTACAAAAATATTGATCCTCAACAGGTTGGAATGTTAACACTTGGTTTTTTATTCAGAGAATTTGAGGATCTCGAGACAGTTTCTACCTAGAAGTGGTATGTCTGGTTTGATGAACTGGTGCATTTTTAGCTCTATAAGGTGTTAACAAATTGCACTCCGGAACAGTCAAACCAATTTCCATTCTCTTCTGCGGTATATGAAGGTTCTCTTTTTTCCCAGTTGCATTGTCAGACTTCAAAATCTTTGCCAACACGGTACCTGTGAAATGATATTTCATCTTAATTATAGCACTTATCTGATTAATAGTTAGGTTGGACATCTATATGTTTGTTAGGTTCCCATTTGTGTGACTCTGACAAGGTAGATTTTCTCAGTTTGCATTTGTGAAAATATGTCTGTAACAAGCTAGCTGTGGGAGGTAAAGTATTATAACAGGTATAACTGGTTTTGACTAAGAAAAGCCTAGAATAGCTAGTTTTGGCTTGATGAAGGACAGGAAAAGCTAGTTGTAGCAAATGAACGCATACACAGGTACTTCAGTGTCTTTCCTGGTATTTTAGACTTTGGACAATGATTCAGTCATCAGCACTAAGACATTTCAGTGGACTAATTATCACTGAGAATTCTGTACCTGTCATCCAGTTCTGATAGCCAGTGACTTTCTGGTCCTGATGAGGCTGAAGACACAGAGGGAGACTGAATTCACCTGTGAGCTTTGTTCTTTTCTGGAGCTGTGATCTGACCTCTCACTCACTCTACCTTTGGTACGGGCGAAATAACTGGGGAGAAGGTATGGAGGTGGGCACACTTTATCAGGCATTCCCTTCCAATCACCCTGTAGTCAGCCTGATTTTTTTTTTTTTTTAATGCAAACCAGAACCTATGCTACCATACTTAAAACCTCTTGATACCTTCCTACAGCATTATCAAATCTGAATTACTTGGCCTGGATCTTTCCTGTCTCTTCCATCCCTCTCACCTTCCCTTCCTCCTAGCCTGTGAGATGACATTTCTTGCAGAGCCCCAGTTTATGGCCAATTGTTTCACACTTTAGTCACTTGGCTTAAAGAATGCCTATTCCCAGAATACTTTCTTCCCCCAGTTGGCCTGGTGCACATTTCCTCCTCATTCATAACTCAACTATGAAGCCTCTCCCAGGGAGAATGGATTATTTTCATTTGTATGCTCTATTAAATTAAAGTGTTCACACATTCCCTCCTTTTTACAATAAACTTTTGCCCAAGGTGCATAGCTCAATGAATTATTACAAAAAGAACAACTGGTGTAACCATCACCTGGCCAACAAATGCAAAGTTAGGAGTCCCTCTCTCCACTAACTAGTACTTTATTTTTTTTTATTTTTTTATTTTTTAATGTTTATTTATTTTTGAGACAGAGAGAGACAGAGCACGAATGGGGGAGGGGCAGAGAGAGGGAGACACAGAATCCGAAGCAGGCTCCAGGCTCTGAGCCATCAGCCCAGAGCCCGACGCGGGGCTCGAACTCACGAACCGTGAGATCGTGACCTGAGCCGAAGTCGGACGCTCAACCGACTGAGCCACCCAGGCGCCCCATAACTAGTACTTTATACAAATGAAAGCACATAACATGTACTTTCTCTGTCTGGTTTCTTTAGTTTACCGTTCATTGTATTTTTGAGATTTATCCCATGTTGTATAGAGCAGCTGATTTGTTTTCCTTGCTTTATAGTATTTAATTTATGTCAACATTGTATGTATTGATTTGTTTTTCAAATTGTTGGTGGATATTAGAGTTGTTCCTATTTTGAGACATTAAAAATAATGCTTCTGGGGCACCTGGGTGGCTCAGTCAGTAGAGCATCTGACTCATGATCTCAGGGTTGTGAGTTCAAGCCCCACATTAGGCATGGAGTCTACTTTAAAAAAAATGTTTCTATGAACATGCATGCACATGTCTTTTGGTGCACATGTGTGTATATGTTTCTGGTGGACATATACCTAAAAATGGAATTCCTGGGTCATAAGATATGTGATATGTTTAACTTTACCAGATAATGACAGTTTTTCAAAGTAGTTGTGTATATTTATACTCCCCCAGCAATTTTGCTTGTAATCAGCTCTTTTATTTTAGCTATCATTTTGAGTATTGTTGTGGTTTTAATTTTAATTTCTCTAATGACTAATGAAGTTGAGCATTCATATATTTATTGGCCATTTAGATATCCTATTTTCTGAAGTGCCTGTTTACATCACCCCTTACACATGTACGTTTCCCCCCAAGGTTGTCTGTTCTGTTATTGTTCTTAGAGGTTCTTTATAACTTTAATAGAGTCCAGTTTATCAGCATTTTCCAGACAACCCACCAAATCATAAGAAATAACACATTGCTGTTATTTTAAGCCACTTTGTTTGGGGAGTGTGTTCAAGAGCAATGGATAAGTGAAGCAGAAGAGTAAGAGAGTCTTTTATCTATGGGAGTCATCTTATCACTTGGAGTCAATTTATCACTTGATTCATCAGAAACCCGGAAAAGTTCTTAAAGAACTGTGTTGGCCTGGGCAGAGACATTTCCAAATGAAAAGAGGCCTCTAAGTCCTCAAACTTCTATGGGGAGGAAGTAGGTTAAGGCTTCTCAGCTACAAACATCCAGTGGAAAAAGCAGGATAGAGGGCTCTCCAGAGGCTAGGGTGAAGAGCGACAGAGATCTATTCCAAGAAGCAGGACTAGCAACATATGCCCAGTGGATTTGGGAATTGCTACGGATCAATGACAGCTCTGCACCTCCTTTTCACTCCCCTGTTTTGAATGCAAGCATTTATTTTGGTCATCGTATCCCTAGCTTATGAAGGTATATTGAGTGTATGTGTCTGTGTGTATTCAGGGGAAGGGGATAGAGATAACTTGTCTTTTTAATTCACAGTCTGCACTATCTCAGTGTATCTGCAGGAAAACATCTCATGAGCCCCATCTGAATTTGGACGTGACTTAGATTACAAGATGCCATATGGGATGAGCTTTGGGAGTCCAGAGAGGGGTGAATGTAAGTATATTTTATCTGTGCGGGATGTGAATCCTTAAAGATCAGAAAGTACACTGTAATATCTAGTCTTACACATGACACCCAGTATTCTTGTTCTTATGTAATTAGTCCCCTCCCACATGACATCTGGGTTAACTTTGTGACTTGCTTTAACTATTAGAATATGGCAGAAACAACATCATGCCGGTTCTGGGCATAAGACTCAACAAGGCCAGGCAGCTTTCACTTTTGCATTTTGGGGATCTCTGAGTTGTCATAGAAGACATTCAGATACCCTGATGGAGGGATCATATGGAAAGGTCATGTGGACAGGGAAGAGGCCTAGATCCATGGAAACAAAGAGAGGAGCCCAGTTGTCTCAGCTGAGCTCAACCTCCCAGCCTTCCCCCCACAAGGTGTCAGTGAGTGAAGCCATCCTGGCTGTTGTCATTCCAGCTGATGTTTAATTGTAGCTCCATGAGACACCCCAAGTGACACCACCACAACCGCCCACTGAGTCCCAGTCAATCCGTAGAATTATGAACAATGACAGAATTGTGGCTGGTTTAAGCCGCTACGTTTTGGAGTGGTAAGAAAACAACATTTCTATACTATTACTCTACTTTGTGAACCTGCTATATCTCTCCTTTAGTTAGATCTTCAATTTCCCCCAACAATGTTTTATAGTTTTCTGTGTAGAGATCTTGCACATGTTTTTAGATTGGTTCTTAGACACATGGCTTGTGTATACTATTGGTAAATGGCACTATGTTTAACACTCGATTTTCTAATTGTTTATTGCTAGCTTATAGAAATTTAACTGTGTATAGAAACTAAATACATGATTTTGTTTTATTGACTGTGTACCCAGTGACCGTCTTTAATTCTCCTCTTAATTCAACAGTTTATCTGTAGATACTTTAGATTCTTCTACATGTGAAATTATGTATAAATAATGACAGATTTATGTCTCCCTTTCCAATTCTAATAGGGTTTATTTCCTTTTTCCTTACCTAATTGCACTGGCTAGGACCTCCAGCATAATGAACTAGCCATTCTTGTCTCATTCTTGATTTTTTAAAAAAATTTTCAATATTTAACTGTTTTTTTTTAATGTTTATTTATTTTTGAGAGACAGAGCATGAGCGGGGAAGGGGCTGAGGGAGAGAGACAGACAGACAGACAGACAGACAGAATCTGAAGCAGGCTCCAGGCTCTGAGCTGTTGGCACAAAGCCCAACATGTGGCTTAAATCCACAAACTGTGAGATCATGACCTGAGCTGAAGTCGGAGGCTTAACGGACTGAACCACCTAGGTGCCCCAAACTCTTTTTTTTTTTTTAAGTTGGCTCCACACTGGGCATGGAGCCCAATACAGGGCTTGAGCTCATGACCCTGAGATCAAGACCTGAGCTGAGATCAATAGTCAGATGCTTAACCAAATGAGCCACCCAAACACCCCTCAATATTTAACTCTTAAGTGTGGGTTTTCCAGATACGTTTGGGAAGGCAAGAATTTTTATTATAAATGGGTATTGAATTTTATAAAAAACTTTTTCTGCATCTATTGAGATGATAATATGATTTTTTATATCCATTACTGTGATGAATTACATTGATTTTTAACTTTAAAACCAATCTTACATATCAAATAAATCCAATTTGTTCATGAGGTATTATTCTTTTTACCTATTACAAAGCTTGATTCCTTGTTATTTTAAAAAAAAATTCTGCATGCATGTTCATGAGACAGAATGGATTATAATTTCTTTCTTTGTGGGTCATTGTCAGGCTTGGGTATAAAGGCTATGTAAATCCCATAAATTTATTTCCTATTTCTTTCCTATTCTCTGGAAAAGTTTGTGTAAAATTGATGTTATAACTTTTTTCAATGTTTAGTGGAATGCACTAATGAAACATCTCAGGTGGGGAAGATTTTAATTATAGGCTCCCTTCCTTTGATAGATGTGACATTATTCAAATCCTCCTATTCTTACTGTGTTCATTTTGATACATTGAGATTTTCAATTTGTCAACTTTACCCAGATTTGCAAAATTATCAGTATAAAATTATTTGCATGGTCACTTTAATGATCTTTTCAATGATTGTTTTTTCATTTCTAAACTTGTTTAGTTGCACTCCCTACCCTGCCAATTCCTTTTTCCCTCTCTCTTCCTCTCTCCCCCCTCCACTACCCTCCCTCCCCTGCTTTTCCTGGTCAGACTGGCCAGGTGTTTGTCAATTTCATAGGTTTTGT